ATCCTTTGGTTTGAATAAGATGGTTGAAAGTTTGTTGTAGAATGTGTTGGGCATACCCTGTTTGAACCCCCTTTGAAGTTTGGAGCTCTTAAGCTATTTGAGTTAGTAGAACTGTTTTTAAAAAACAGTCTTTACATGACTTAATTTAAGTAGTTTGAACATTTGAATTTACAGTGTTTTGTGTGTACAAAATTTAATGTTGTGATATTATTACTAGTACCTTTTGAACCCCTTGATTTGAATCATGATAAGAAGTCCAGTTGATACATTTTGCCACTTATATTTAATCTTATTCTTGTCTCCTGTCTCACAGATGGCCGTGCACACCCACCTGGTAGGTCAGAAGCTGTGTCTCTGTGTTGTATAAATGTAGTAAATGACAACAAACAGTAAATAAACCAGCACATTTCTGTGACACAGCTGCTGTTTAACTACATTTCAGCTTTAATGTGAAATGCAGTTTGTACAGGAGCTGTTATGGGTTTTTGTTTTCGTAGTTATTAACATATAGTCCGTTGTCCAAAGCACCAAGTGAATATGAATATTATTTTGCACAATGTTTAAATTGTTTTTGACTGCTCATGTATGAAGCTCAACAACCAAAAAATTTGTAAATTATGTTTGCTAACATGTTTTCACCTATTTTCTTACTTCTTTTTTTGTCTTTCTCAGCATTCGAGACATATCGTAAGAAACAATGCTTTTTTTAAAATATATTTTGTGTTTTGTAATTATTAACATTAGTGTGTCTAAAGCAACAAGTGATGAAGATTGAGTTGTTACAATGTGTGTGATATTTCAAAGATTACTGAATAACTTTCTAGACTTTAAACAATGCTTTTAATGCGTAACTAATTATACCAACATCAGAAGCCAATCACTGAATCTGTTTTCTTCCTTTTCTTTTTTTTCTGTTGACCTCGTATATCTATTTTATCCCTGACCAGAGCATTATCAACCTCTAAGACTAGGTCAGTTTAAAAAAGTTCTTTTTTCATTTTTTACATTGTAACATTAATAAAGAATAAGAAGAGAAAACATATAAAACAAGAAGCATTCAGACAGCACACACCTCTGTGATGGAGTAATTAGAAAGAGTAATTAATTAGATTGCTTGTTACTGAAAAAAGTAACGTCGTTAGTAACTTCATTACTTTTACCATTTATATCAATGTGTTTATATATATATATATATAAATATATATTGTGTGTGTGTGTGTGTGTGTGTGTGTGTGTGTGTGTGTGTGTGTGTGTGTGTGTATTAAACGCCTTGGTGGGAATCATATAGAAGTTTAGTTGATACATTTTGTTACTGATAATTAATCTTATTCTTATTTTCTGTCTCACAGATGGCTGTTCACGCCTACGTGGTAGGTTAAAAGTTGTGTCTCTGTGTTGTATAAATGTAGTAAATGGTAACAAACAGTGAATAAACCAACACATTTCTGTGACGCAGCTGCTGTTTAACTACATTTCAGCTTTAATGTGAAATGCAGTTTGTACAGAAGCTATTATGTTTGCCCAGGTTTTTTCATAGTTATTAACATAGTCGGTTGTCCAAAGCAGCAAGTGAATATGAATATTATTCTGCAAAACGTTTAAATTGTTTGTGATGAGTCACAGTATGAAGCTCAACAACCAAAAAATTTGTAAATTATGTTTGCTAACATGTTTTCACCTTTCATCTTTATTTCTTTTTTCTGCTTTCTCAGCATCCGCGGAATATAGTAAGGAAATCTTTTTTTAATATTTTGTGTTTTGTAATTATTAACATTGTCTAAAGCAACACGTGTTGAAGATTGAGTTGTTTCAATGTGTGTGATATTTCAACAATTATTGAATAACTAACAACTTGGTAGACTTTGTAGACTCACTGAGGTTGTTTTCTTAATTATTGAATATCACCTATTTTTTTCCTTGACCAGAGTGTCTTCCATCTGAAAGGACAGGTAAGTTTAAAAGTGTTTTTTTTTTTTTTTTTGTAAATTATAAATCAAAAAAGAGTAATTAAGAAAACATATAAAATAAAAAGCATTTTTCCATCTTTGCACATTTTAAAACAGTTTGTAGAGTTTTTATATTTTCAGGTTTGCTTTGGTAGTCATTAATTACATTGGTAGTCATTTGTTGACACAAAGTGAAGAAGGCTGAATTGCTATAACTTTTGTGTTATTTTGAGTATTATTGAATAACTTGTACACTTGAAATAGTTTGCAGTGAGTTGTCACAACATTACAAGCCAATCGTTGAGTTTTTCTTTTATTATGTCTTGCGTATTGGCATCATGCTCAAACATTTCCATTTTATCTCTCTAGAGTGGTCAGGTTTATATATTTTTAAAAAGGCGCACATCAATGGAACAAACGTGTTCATTGTATTTGATTGAATATCACCTATTTTTACCTTGAAGTTTAGTTAATACATTGTGTTACTGATAATTAATCTTATTCTTATCTTCTGTCTCACAGATGGTAATGGAAGCCTACGTGGTAGGTTAAAAGCTGTGTCTCTGTGTTGTAATTATTAACATTATCTAAAGCAACAAGTGATGAAGATTGAGTTGTTACAATGTGTGTGATATTTCAAAGATTACTGAATAACTAATAACTTTGTAGAATTTAAAAACTGCTTAATGAGTAAATAATTATAGCAACATCAGAAGCCAATCACTGTGTTTGTTTTCTTAATTATTGAATATCACCTATTTTTATCCTTGACTAGAGTGTCTTCCATCCAGAAATGAAGGTAAGTTTAAAAGTTTTTTTCCTGCATTGTAACATAAAAAAGAGTAAGTAAGATTTTTTTAAAAAAACATTTTTAAATGTTTTTGCTTTCACAGCACTCATCGATTGTGGTAAGGAAAAAAGTTTTTTAGTATTCTCTGTTTTGTAATTATTAACAGGCTGATGATGATGAAGGTGAAGGTTGAGTTTATTTTCTTCATACTCATATAAATCTAAATTGTATAAATTATTCCTGAACAGCAAGTCAAGGGAGGTCAGTTTAAAAAAATATGTTTACTAATTTCTACAGACACACACACACACACAACAGAGTAAAAAGAAAAAATATGAAACAAGAGGCGCTCTGAGAGTTAAAACCTCCATCAGTGCAGCTTATTTTTTGGGCAATATTTACTTTTATTGTGTTTTTTCTTTTTCGTTTTTTTAAAATTACTTAAATTCATCTGTGAGGTTAAAAATCTGTTTCTGTGATTTTTATAAATATAGCAATTGTCTGCAATCACTAAATAAACTAACACATTTCTCTGACAAAGTTAGTATTTTACCCATTCTAAGCTTGATGTGAAATACACTCATAGAGAAAAAGTTGTTTCATGTTATGTCAATTTTAAGAAAATTAACCATGTCTTTATGATTTTTTTTTTTTTAAAAATGGATGATACTGTTTACTTAATGATTTTAACATCAGACTTTTAATTGTGTGTTGTTTAGCTCGATCGCAGGTCATGCGCTCTGCTAGAGGTGAGTAAAAAGCTAAATGTTGCAGAAACAGTGTGATTAAAAATACGTTAAATGGCTGTAAGCACGCAACTAAACACCACATTCGTTTGCCACAGTTGATCTTTAATTTTGCCTTGGAAGCCTTTAACATCTTGTGTTTTTTGCGTTACCATTTCAATCCAGTGATAGTTGTTCTGCTTCTCAATTCTCAGGTCACCATTTGCTCCATGTTTTTAAATCAGCAAGAGACAACATATTGCTGCATTGTGATGACTGTTAAAAAAACATATGAACCAGTTCCTGACATAGGAGTCCAAGAGTTTTCATTGTCCTACATTTAAGAGAGATACCATTGCACTTGTTGCACATTTGCTTAGTCAGGACGCCCACAGGCAGTAGAATTGGAGCAGCTCCTATTTACTTTGTTTTAGATGACCGTTACTGCACTGGATGGATGTGGATTTCTATTTATTGGAAAGGAATAAACTTAACTCAGCATCAGTCATATGAAAGTAATGAATTACCAGATCACCCAGTTGGACTGTAGTGTGTGTGTTTTTATAATAATGACTTGAGCTTCATTGAGTTGTGGTCTCTCTAATCTCGCAGAACCTGATAGCTATGAACCAACAAACAAGTCTGACAGCAAAAAAGGGCTATTTACTCACATGAAGAAGAAGCTACCTGTCTTTTGGAAATCTCATAAGACGCCTACCAACTATGATGATGCTCGTCTAAACTTTGTGTATGAAGGTAATGATTTGATTTGATATACCTTTATTAGTCCCACAAGGGGAAATTTCATAAGGCTGCCGACCTATTGCACGCAATGGTGGCGCCATCTTACCCTCCGACCATACATACATTACACAAAACATCACATGGGGAAGACGGTCAGAGAGGTATAACAATGGAATGCACACATGGGAAAGATAAGGAGAAAAAAAATAACTCCCCCCAGACTGAGCTCCAACAGGGAGATCAGTTTGAGAACAGAAAAAAAAACACCTCTGCACATAGCACATGAAAAAACTCTTAATACACCAAAGAAACACATGACAAGCAACAGGGGTGGGTAAAGGGTGAGAGACAGCCGAATTAGACAGTACATCCGGGCCTGCGTGCGCTGGTCTCCTTGATCCACCGTCAGCATCGGAAGGGAATAAGCGTCGAAGGCGTTTGGAAAGGGAGGGGGGATGAGTGTGTGCATATCAGTGTATATGTATGTGTGTGCGTGTCCAGAGTTCAGCTGAGACAGTGTCCTTCGCCCTGCTAGGCTAAGTAAACAGTCTTCCAGCCAACCCAGGTGGCCTTGCATGGAATGGGAAGGAACAGACTAAACACAGTCGTTATCAACCAACAGAAGCGTCCAGTTTCCATCATTTACAGAATTTCAGGGCACCCAATACATTCTTCATTGTTGTCGTCACATTATAGTCATCTTACCATAACACTGCACTGCAAAAAAGAGGAAAATGTGCTTTACTGTAAATTTACTGTAGAATATTTGTCTTTGTATTTTCTCATACACATTTATGTTATACTATCATATTATAGTCCTTCAGCCGAGTATATGGACTACTATGAATTCTACTATATACATATATGTATGTATATATATATATATATATATATATAATATATATATTGTATATATATAAGCTAACGATTAATAAGACGATGTCAGAGGAATTGGTGCACAAATTATCATCACTCACAGATCAGTGCTGTCGCTCTCTATACACAGTTCGCACGATTGCAAAGTGAAAGCAAAAAAACAAGCGCAAATTCAAACGCGATTTCAATATGTCACATATTGACAGTGGCTCACCGATGCCAATGACATAATTACCCAGCTACATTTCTGAAAGAATGCAAAAGCATTGACATATATTTTTCCTTCCTACAATAGCCCGACGGGCAGGGCAGAGATAGATTTTGGTAGCCCGACTGAAAAAATCGCTAGCCCCGGGACGTCGGGCTAGCGATATTGCAGCCCTGTATCTGATTGAGGAATCACTCATCTTTGGAAAAGAGAGTTTATTACAGAGAAATGCTCTTTCCAAAATAAAAGCTATACTATCCGCTTCTTCTGGGCTATATTCTCAGCAGCATAAGGAGAATCATGTGCTAACAGCTGTCTAAATGACTCGGCTAAAGTTAGTAGCATGCTTGTTGTTTTTGTCTTTGCACTAGGATGATGTCGGCGTAAATGTGCAGTCATATTCGTTGTGTTCCCACTAGTGCTTTCAGGTTAATCTCGTTGAAATGACCTTAACGCCACAACACGGCAAATCTCCGTTAACGAGCTACCGCCGATCGCCCCGTGCATGGGGCTAGACGGCCAACACGTTAACGAGCTAACTGCGCTAACACACTAGTTCCCACCCATGTAATTGAGCATTGCATGGCACATCCAACATACTGTTTTACTTTAGTCCATGACTCGCTTACCTTCAGGGTCATACGTCACATGAAAACCAAAATAATTCCAAACGCCAGATCTGAATGAGGGTGGGGGAGGTCCATGTTGCAAGGAGAGCTTAACTTCTGTCTCGCTAGCTTGCCCTGCGCTCTTCCTTCTGACGATGCTGTCTGTGTTGAGCGCTCAGTGGATCTGCGCTCGACAGTGCAGCCTAGGCGGAGTAGTCGAACACAGATTCACTGAGCGCTCAACACAGACAGCATCGTCAGAAGGAAAGTTGATAAAATAAATTACAAATGTTGTATTGTTGATAATATAATACATATATATATATATATATATACATGTGTGTGTGTGTGTGTATTAAACGCCTTGGTGGGAATCATGATGAGAAGTTTAGTTGATACATTTTGTTACTGATAATTAATCTTATTCTTATTTTCTGTCTCACAGATGGCTGTTCACGCCTACGTGGTAGGTTAAAAGTTGTGTCTCTGTGTTGTATAAATGTAGTAAATGGTAACAAACAGTGAATAAACCAACACATTTCTGTGACGCAGCTGCTGTTTAACTACATTTCAGCTTTAATGTGAAATGCAGTTTGTACAGAAGCTATTATGTTTGCCCAGGTTTTTTCATAGTTATTAACATAGTCGGTTGTCCAAAGCAGCAAGTGAATATGAATATTATTCTGCAAAACGTTTAAATTGTTTGTGATGAGTCACAGTATGAAGCTCAACAACCAAAAAATTTGTAAATTATGTTTGCTAACATGTTTTCACCTTTCATCTTTATTTCTTTTTTCTGCTTTCTCAGCATCCGCGGAATATAGTAAGGAAATCTTTTTTTAATATTTTGTGTTTTGTAATTATTAACATTGTCTAAAGCAACACGTGTTGAAGATTGAGTTGTTTCAATGTGTGTGATATTTCAACAATTATTGAATAACTAACAACTTGGTAGACTTTGTAGACTCACTGAGGTTGTTTTCTTAATTATTGAATATCACCTATTTTTTTCCTTGACCAGAGTGTCTTCCATCTGAAAGGACAGGTAAGTTTAAAAGTGTTTTTTTTTTTTTTTTTTAAATTATAAATCAAAAAAGAGTAATTAAGAAAACATATAAAATAAAAAGCATTTTTCCATCTTTGCACATTTTAAAACAGTTTGTAGAGTTTTTATATTTTCAGGTTTGCTTTGGTAGTCATTAATTACATTGGTAGTCATTTGTTGACACAAAGTGAAGAAGGCTGAATTGCTATAACTTTTGTGTTATTTTGAGTATTATTGAATAACTTGTACACTTGAAATAGTTTGCAGTGAGTTGTCACAACATTACAAGCCAATCGTTGAGTTTTTCTTTTATTATGTCTTGCGTATTGGCATCATGCTCAAACATTTCCATTTTATCTCTCTAGAGTGGTCAGGTTTATATATTTTTAAAAAGGCGCACATCAATGGAACAAACGTGTTCATTGTATTTGATTCTCAGAGCAATCATTTAGTCTGAGCTCAGTGTATTTGTGTGTGCTCATTTCTTCATGTGATAAAGTGTTTTGTATGTACAAAATGTCATGTTGTGACATTATTCTAAGTACCTTTTGAACCACTTGTTTTGAATCATGATAAGAAGTCTAGTTAATACATTTCGTTAATGATAATTAATCTTATTCTTATCTTCTGTCTCACAGATGGATAGATGCGAAGCCTACGTGGTAGGTTAACAAGCTGTGTCTCTGTGTTGTAATTATTAACATTATCTAAAGCAACAAGTGATGAAGATTGAGTTGTTACAATGTGTGTGATATTTCAAAGATTACTGAATAACTAATAACTTTGTAGAATTTAAAAACTGCTTAATGAGTAAATAATTATAGCAACATCAGAAGCCAATCACTGTGTTTGTTTTCTTAATTATTGAATATCACCTATTTTTACCTTGAAGTTTAGTTAATACATTGTGTTACTGATAATTAATCTTATTCTTATCTTCTGTCTCACAGATGGTAATGGAAGCCTACGTGGTAGGTTAAAAGCTGTGTCTCTGTGTTGTAATTATTAACATTATCTAAAGCAACAAGTGATGAAGATTGAGTTGTTACAATGTGTGTGATATTTCAAAGATTACTGAATAACTAATAACTTTGTAGAATTTAAAAACTGCTTAATGAGTAAATAATTATAGCAACATCAGAAGCCAATCACTGTGTTTGTTTTCTTAATTATTGAATATCACCTATTTTTATCCTTGACTAGAGTGTCTTCCATCCAGAAATGAAGGTAAGTTTAAAAGTTTTTTTCCTGCATTGTAACATAAAAAAGAGTAAGTAAGATTTTTTTAAAAAAACATTTTTAAATGTTTTTGCTTTCACAGCACTCATCGATTGTGGTAAGGAAAAAAGTTTTTTAGTATTCTCTGTTTTGTAATTATTAACAGGCTGATGATGATGAAGGTGAAGGTTGAGTTTATTTTCTTCATACTCATATAAATCTAAATTGTATAAATTATTCCTGAACAGCAAGTCAAGGGAGGTCAGTTTAAAAAAATATGTTTACTAATTTCTACAGACACACACACACACACAACAGAGTAAAAAGAAAAAATATGAAACAAGAGGCGCTCTGAGAGTTAAAACCTCCATCAGTGCAGCTTATTTTTTGGGCAATATTTACTTTTATTGTGTTTTTTCTTTTTCGTTTTTTTAAAATTACTTAAATTCATCTGTGAGGTTAAAAATCTGTTTCTGTGATTTTTATAAATATAGCAATTGTCTGCAATCACTAAATAAACTAACACATTTCTCTGACAAAGTTAGTATTTTACCCATTCTAAGCTTGATGTGAAATACACTCATAGAGAAAAAGTTGTTTCATGTTATGTCAATTTTAAGAAAATTAACCATGTCTTTATGATTTTTTTTTTTTTTTAAAATGGATGATACTGTTTACTTAATGATTTTAACATCAGACTTTTAATTGTGTGTTGTTTAGCTCGATCGCAGGTCATGCGCTCTGCTAGAGGTGAGTAAAAAGCTAAATGTTGCAGAAACAGTGTGATTAAAAATACGTTAAATGGCTGTAAGCACGCAACTAAACACCACATTCGTTTGCCACAGTTGATCTTTAATTTTGCCTTGGAAGCCTTTAACATCTTGTGTTTTTTGCGTTACCATTTCAATCCAGTGATAGTTGTTCTGCTTCTCAATTCTCAGGTCACCATTTGCTCCATGTTTTTAAATCAGCAAGAGACAACATATTGCTGCATTGTGATGACTGTTAAAAAAACATATGAACCAGTTCCTGACATAGGAGTCCAAGAGTTTTCATTGTCCTACATTTAAGAGAGATACCATTGCACTTGTTGCACATTTGCTTAGTCAGGACGCCCACAGGCAGTAGAATTGGAGCAGCTCCTATTTACTTTGTTTTAGATGACCGTTACTGCACTGGATGGATGTGGATTTCTATTTATTGGAAAGGAATAAACTTAACTCAGCATCAGTCATATGAAAGTAATGAATTACCAGATCACCCAGTTGGACTGTAGTGTGTGTGTTTTTATAATAATGACTTGAGCTTCATTGAGTTGTGGTCTCTCTAATCTCGCAGAACCTGATAGCTATGAACCAACAAACAAGTCTGACAGCAAAAAAGGGCTATTTACTCACATGAAGAAGAAGCTACCTGTCTTTTGGAAATCTCATAAGACGCCTACCAACTATGATGATGCTCGTCTAAACTTTGTGTATGAAGGTAATGATTTGATTTGATATACCTTTATTAGTCCCACAAGGGGAAATTTCATAAGGCTGCCGACCTATTGCACGCAATGGTGGCGCCATCTTACCCTCCAACCATACATACATTACACAAAACATCACATGGGGAAGACTGGTCAGAGAGGTATAACAATGGAATGAGGAAAGATAAGGAGAAAAAAAATAACTCCCCCCAGACTGAGCTCCAACAGGGAGATCCGTTTGAGAACAGAAAAAAAAACACCTCTGCACATAGCACATGAAAAAAACTCTTAATACACCAAAGAAACACATGACAAGCAACAGGGGTGGGTAAAGGGTGAGAGACCGCCGAATTAGACAGTACATCCGGGCCTGCGTGCGCTGGTCTCCTTGATCCCTGTCAGCATCGGAAGGGAATAAGCGTCGAAGGCGTTTGGAAAGGGAGGGGGGATGAGTGTGTGCATATCAGTGTATATGTATGTGTGCCAGAGTTCAGCTGAGACAGTGTCCTTCGCCCTGCTAGGCTAAGTAAAAGTCTTCCAGCCAACCCAGGTGGCCTTGCATGGAATGGGAGAGGAACAGACTAAACACAGTCGTTATCAACCAACAGAAGCGTCCAGTTTCCATCATTTACAGAATTTCAGGGCACCCAATACATTCTTCATTGTTGTCGTCACATTATAGTCATCTTACCATAACACTGCACTGCAAAAAAGAGGAAAATGTGCTTTACTGTAAATTTACTGTAGAATATTTGTCTTTGTATTTTCTCATACACATTTATGTTATACTATCATATTATAGTCCTTCAGCCGAGTATATGGACTACGATCGAACCTTCTACTAACATAGTTGTAAGCTCAGATATTACTATTCATTTTAAATGCATATAAAGCTAACGATTAATAAGACGATGTCAGAGGAATTGGTGCACAAATTATCATCACTCACAGATCAGTGCTGTCGCTCTCTATACACAGTTCGCACGATTGCAAAGTGAAAGCAAAAAAACAAGCGCAAATTCAAACGCGATTTCAATATGTCACATATTGACAGTGGCTCACCGATGCCAATGACATAATTACCCAGCTACATTTCTGAAAGAATGCAAAAGCATTGACATATATTTTTCCTTCCTACAATAGCCCGACGGGCAGGGAAGAGATAGATTTTGGTAGCCCGACTGAAAAAAATCGCTAGCCCGGGACGTCGGGCTAGCGATATTGCAAGCCCTGTATCTGATTGAGGAATCACTCATCTTTGGAAAAGAGAGTTTATTACAGAGAAATGTGCTCTTTCCAAAATAAAAGCTATACTATCCGCTTCTTCTGGGCTATATTCTCAGCAGCATAAGGAGAATCATGTGCTAACGAGCTGTCTAAATGACTCGGCTAAAGTTAGTAGCATGCTTGTTGTTTTTGTCTTTGCACTAGGATGATGTCGGCGTAAATGTGCAGTCATATTCGTTGTGTTCCCACTAGTGCTTTCAGGTTAATCTCGTTGAAATGACGTTAACGCCACAACACGGCAAATCTCCGTTAACGAGCTACCGCCGATCGCCCCGTGCATGGGGCTAGACGGCCAACACGTTAACGAGCTAACTGCGCTAACACACTAGTTCCCACCCATGTAATTGAGCATTGCATGGCACATCCAACATACTGTTTTACTTTAGTCCATGACTCGCTTACCTTCAGGGTCATACGTCACATGAAAACCAAAATAATTCCAAACGCCAGATCTGAATGAGGGTGGGGAGGTCCATGTTGCAAGGAGAGCTTAACTTCTGTCTCGCTAGCTTGCCCTGCGCTCTTCCTTCTGACTGATGCTGTCTGTGTTGAGCGCTCAGTGGATCTGCGCTCGACAGTGCAGCCTAGGCGGAGTAGTCGAACACAGATTCACTGAGCGCTCAACACAGACAGCATCGTCAGAAGGAAAGTTGATAAAATAAATTACAAATGTTTATATGTATGATTATATATAAAATCATATATATATATATATATATACATGTGTGTGTGTGTGTGTATTAAACGCCTTGGTGGGAATCATGATGAGAAGTTTAGTTGATACATTTTGTTACTGATAATTAATCTTATTCTTATTTTCTGTCTCACAGATGGCTGTTCACGCCTACGTGGTAGGTTAAAAGTTGTGTCTCTGTGTTGTATAAATGTAGTAAATGGTAACAAACAGTGAATAAACCAACACATTTCTGTGACGCAGCTGCTGTTTAACTACATTTCAGCTTTAATGTGAAATGCAGTTTGTACAGAAGCTATTATGTTTGCCCAGGTTTTTTCATAGTTATTAACATAGTCGGTTGTCCAAAGCAGCAAGTGAATATGAATATTATTCTGCAAAACGTTTAAATTGTTTGTGATGAGTCACAGTATGAAGCTCAACAACCAAAAAATTTGTAAATTATGTTTGCTAACATGTTTTCACCTTTCATCTTTATTTCTTTTTTCTGCTTTCTCAGCATCCGCGGAATATAGTAAGGAAATCTTTTTTTAATATTTTGTGTTTTGTAATTATTAACATTGTCTAAAGCAACACGTGTTGAAGATTGAGTTGTTTCAATGTGTGTGATATTTCAACAATTATTGAATAACTAACAACTTGGTAGACTTTGTAGACTCACTGAGGTTGTTTTCGTAGAGATGAAGTATCAGTTTCCTTGACCAGAGTGTCTTCCATCTGAAAGGACAGGTAAGTTTAAAAGTGTTTTTTTTTTTTTTTTTGTAAATTATACATCAAAAAAGAGTAATTAAGAAAACATATAAAATAAAAAGCATTTTTCCATCTTTGCACATTTTAAAACAGTTTGTAGAGTTTTTATATTTTCAGGTTTGCTTTGGTAGTCATTAATTACATTGGTAGTCATTTGTTGACACAAAGTGAAGAAGGCTGAATTGCTATAACTTTTGTGTTATTTTGAGTATTATTGAATAACTTGTACACTTGAAATAGTTTGCAGTGAGTTGTCACAACATTACAAGCCAATCGTTGAGTTTTTCTTTTATTATGTCTTGCGTATTGGCATCATGCTCAAACATTTCCATTTTATCTCTCTAGAGTGGTCAGGTTTATATATTTTTAAAAAGGCGCACATCAATGGAACAAACGTGTTCATTGTATTTGATTCTCAGAGCAATCATTTAGTCTGAGCTCAGTGTATTTGTGTGTGCTCATTTCTTCATGTGATAAAGTGTTTTGTATGTACAAAATGTCATGTTGTGACATTATTCTAAGTACCTTTTGAACCACTTGTTTTGAATCATGATAAGAAGTCTAGTTAATACATTTCGTTAATGATAATTAATCTTATTCTTATCTTCTGTCTCACAGAATACTATCGAAGCCTCTTTGGTAGGTTACAAGTTGTGTCTCTGTGTTGTAATTATTAACATCCTCTAAAGCAACAAGTGATGAAGATTGAGTTGTTAAAACTTCTGTAATATTTTAATTATTGAATAACTAATAACTTTGTAGACTTTAAAAACTGCTTAATGAGTAAATAATTATAGCAACATCAGAAGGCAATCACAGAGTTTTTTTTTTTCTTAATTATGAATATCACCTATTTTTACCTTGAAGTTTAGTTAATACATTGTGTTACTGATAATTAATCTTATTCTTATCTTCTGTCTCACAGATGGTAATGGAAGCCTACGTGGTAGGTTAAAAGCTGTGTCTCTGTGTTGTAATTATTAACATTATCTAAAGCAACAAGTGATGAAGATTGAGTTGTTACAATGTGTGTGATATTTCAAAGATTACTGAATAACTAATAACTTTGTAGAATTTAAAAACTGCTTAATGAGTAAATAATTATAGCAACATCAGAAGCCAATCACTGTGTTTGTTTTCTTAATTATTGAATATCACCTATTTTTATCCTTGACTAGAGTGTCTTCCATCCAGAAATGAAGGTAAGTTTAAAAGTTTTTTTCCTGCATTGTAACATAAAAAAGAGTAAGTAAGATTTTTTTAAAAAAACATTTTTAAATGTTTTTGCTTTCACAGCACTCATCGATTGTGGTAAGGAAAAAAGTTTTTTAGTATTCTCTGTTTTGTAATTATTAACAGGCTGATGATGATGAAGGTGAAGGTTGAGTTTATTTTCTTCATACTCATATAAATCTAAATTGTATAAATTATTCCTGAACAGCAAGTCAAGGGAGGTCAGTTTAAAAAAATATGTTTACTAATTTCTACAGACACACACACACACACAACAGAGTAAAAAGAAAAAATATGAAACAAGAGGCGCTCTGAGAGTTAAAACCTCCATCAGTGCAGCTTATTTTTTGGGCAATATTTACTTTTATTGTGTTTTTTCTTTTTCGTTTTTTTAAAATTACTTAAATTCATCTGTGAGGTAAAAATCTGTTTCTGTGATTTTTATAAATATAGCAATTGTCTGCAATCACTAAATAAACTAACACATTCTGCGACAAAGTTAGTATTTTACCCATTCTAAGCTTGATGTGAAATACACTCATAGAGAAAAAGTTGTTTCATGTTATGCAATTTAAGAAAATTAACCATGCTCTTTAGATTTTTTTTTTTTTAAAAATGAGATGATACTGTTTACTTAATGATTATTAAATCAGACTTTTAATTGTGTGTTGTTTAGCTCGATCGCAGGTCACTGCGCTCTGTAGAGGTGAGTAAAAAGCTAAATGTTGCAGAAACAGTGTGATTAAAAATACGTTAAATGGCTGTAAGCACGCAACTAAACACCACATTCGTTTGCCACAGTTGATCTTTAATTTTGCCTTGGAAGCCTTTAACATCTTGTGTTTTTTGCGTTACCATTTCAATCCAGTGATAGTTGTTCTGCTTCTCAATTCTCAGGTCACCATTTGCTCCATGTTTTTAAATCAGCAAGAGACAACATATTGCTGCATTGTGATGACTGTTAAAAAAACATATGAACCAGTTCCTGACATAGGAGTCCAAGAGTTTTCATTGTCCTACATTTAAGAGAGATACCATTGCACTTGTTGCACATTTGCTTAGTCAGGACGCCCACAGGCAGTAGAATTGGAGCAGCTCCTATTTACTTTGTTTTAGATGACCGTTACTGCACTGGATGGATGTGGATTTCTATTTATTGGAAAGGAATAAACTTAACTCAGCATCAGTCATATGAAAGTAATGAATTACCAGATCACCCAGTTGGACTGTAGTGTGTGTGTTTTTATAATAATGACTTGAGCTTCATTGAGTTGTGGTCTCTCTAATCTCGCAGAACCTGATAGCTATGAACCAACAAACAAGTCTGACAGCAAAAAAGGGCTATTTACTCACATGAAGAAGAAGCTACCTGTCTTTTGGAAATCTCATAAGACGCCTACCAACTATGATGATGCTCGTCTAAACTTTGTGTATGAAGGTAATGATTTGATTTGATATACCTTTATTAGTCCCACAAGGGGAAATTTCATAAGGCTGCCGACCTATTGCACGCAATGGTGGCGCCATCTTACCCTCCAACCATACATACATTACACAAAACATCACATGGGGAAGACGGTCAGAGAGGTATAACAATGGAATGAGGAAAGATAAGGAGAAAAAAAATAACTCCCCCCAGACTGAGCTCCAACAGGGAGATCGTTTGAGAACAGAAAAAAAAACACCTCTGCACATAGCACATGAAAACTCTTAATACACCAAAGAAACACATGACAAGCAACAGGGGTGGGTAAAGGGTGAGAGACAGCCGATTTAGACAGTACATCCGGGCCTGCGTGCGCTGGTCTCCTTGATCCACCGTCAGCATCGGAAGGGAATAAGCGTCGAAGGCGTTTGGAAAGGGAGGGGGGATGAGTGTGTGCATATCAGTGTATATGTATGTGTGTGCGTGTCCAGAGTTCAGCTGAGACAGTGTCCTTCGCCCTGCTAGGCTAAGTAAACAGTCTTCCAGCCAACCCAGGTGGCCTTGCATGGAATGGGAAGGAACAGACTAAACACAGTCGTTATCAACCAACAGAAGCGTCCAGTTTCCATCATTTACAGAATTTCAGGGCACCCAATACATTCTTCATTGTTGTCGTCACATTATAGTCATCTTACCATAACACTGCACTGCAAAAAAGAGGAAAATGTGCTTTACTGTAAATTTACTGTAGAATATTTGTCTTTGTATTTTCTCATACACATTTATGTTATACTATCATATTATAGTCCTTCAGCCGAGTATATGGACTACTATGAATTCTACTATATACTATATATGTATGTATATATATATAATATATATATATATATATATATATATATATATATATATATATGAAGAGAGAGAGAGAGAGAGATAGATAAAAATTATATATGTATGTGTAATAAAGATATATAGAACTAGATTCAACACTTTATGTCCAGTTATTATTTCATCTTTGTACTTTATCTTTTTCAGCTGCTGTGCAATTGCAGCCACCCAGAGATCCTTTGCTACAGTTAGTCTTCCTTCAGGAGGCATCTGGCTACTGGCGGCTTGATCCAGCTCTGGCTACTGCACTGGGAAAGATCAGCAAGGAGATGGAAAAGTCAAAGCCTGAAAAGGTGGGTTGTTGTCAATTTTAGTCATTACAAAAAGTGAACATATGGGTGTTAATCCAATTGTATAGTACACATTAAAGAAAGAAATTTAAGAAATTAAACTGTAACATAACATAACAGATGAAAATTAATTTAGCTGTACTAAAACTAGGGCTGGATATTGTCACTGATTTCTGGAATCAATTCAATTCCGATTCACAAGGTCCCGATATTCGATTCTATCCATGATTCGATTTAATTCGCTTCGATTTGATTTGAATCGGGGGGGATTTTGCCTCAGACAGTCAGAAATATAATTCTGATCACTTATCAGTGCATATCCATATTATCCATAATATCTATAACAAGAAAGCTGACACTAGCATTACAGCAGATGCCTTTGTGTCAAAGTAACTGGGGATAAAACACAGAAAAACTTGAAGAAGAATTTCCTGGCCTGGGTTTTTAATAGCAGATGACCTTAAAATATATTCTGTAGTAGGTCAAAAATGAAAGAAAACCATTAATCACCATATGAACATTACCTGATGAAGTGAAGCAAAGTAACAAAGGTTCAATTAGAGACACATCTAAGGGTTTTGCAATTTTGCATAATTTTAAAAAGTTTACATTTGTTCAGTATAGCACAGGAGAAATGAGGCTTTCTTGTCAGAAGTAAGTAAAAAAAAACAGTGTCCAACAGCGCTGGCAAAACAGCAAAAGTAAGAGGGAATTCATGACGATGTATATGTGAAGCGAAATGTGAAGTGTAGTTTGGATCTTCTTCTGCTGCTGGTTCAGTCAATATTGTTTGGAGAGCGATAAAACATGCAGCTTCAGAATCTAGCGCAAAAAAGACGTAAACACAAAGAGCGGACCCGCCGACACATCAGAATCAGTGAGCTGTCAGCTTTCAGCCCCCGATGATGTGACATCTCACTGGCTCTGATGCGTCGGCGGGTCCGCGCTTTATGTTTACGTATTTGTGCAGAATCTGTGTACCTGCTGCCATTTAATGTTTTAGCTGTTTGGTGGTTGTCAAAATTTTGTGAGGTTTAACCTCAGATTCTGGTGTTTCGGGCAAAATAAATTTATATTAAAAATTGATTCAGGATTTTAATGAATCAATATCATGTTATCCAAGCTAGAATTGATTTTAATCTATAAATCAATAATGAAAAAATCTACCCCTAGTAAAAACTGGCAAAAAATACATTATTTATATTATCACAATTGCCAAAAGTAAGATCTAAACCCTTGTGTAGCATTTTTTAAAAAAAATCTAAATGTAGTTGTGTGCAGAACACTAACTTGTTTTGGTGTATCAACATTCACATGTGACTGGCTGCCTGTTGCCATTTTAGCTGTAGAGACAGGGAGACAGGAAGACGGATTTAAATGCAAGCATATCAGGAAAAAGTGACGAAACGAGCGAAAACGTAAAATGAGCAGCAACTAGCTACATTTCAATGACATTGGAGACTGCAAAGTACAGTGCAGAATTTAAAAAATTGGGAGCTGTCTAAAGTGAAACCTAGCTTTGTTTTCAGCCATTTTCCATCAAGGACAAAAAAACCTCATTTGTGTTCTCCCTAGTAGTAGTAGTAACTGCATAAAAATAAAGCTTTTATGAAAACACTGAATGAAAAATTGTTTCCTTGAAAAAGACTAAAATTACTGTTCAGTACTGAATGTTAGATAAAATAAACTATATTCAAAGTGTCTTTGAATGGCAGAAATGCAGAAATGTGTGAATATACTGCAGAGCCATGGCTCAGTGTCTGTGTGTCTAAATTAGTCTCACAGACCTGAATATGACACTTGAAGCCATTTGTATTTCTGAACCTGTTTGATCTGCTGCTCACCACTAACAAGAATAAGCATCAATTTTGGACTTTTAACAGTATTTTTATAGGTTTTACATCTTTTCACGCTGATTAAAAACCTCCCTTGTGGCAATTTATACTACACAAAGCGATTAACCAATAAACAATTAAATGACCGAGATGTTAGTTTTTCACTTTCAACAATAGAAATTTTGAGGGGTTTTGTGACTAACAAAAACTGGACAGCCTGGACAATGAGATACAATTTTACACATTTATTTCTTATAATTTAAGTCCAAAGAGTCGTACTGACAGGTTTCCTTTTTTGTCACAGCAGGTTTTTCTTCATTATGTAGAAAAACTTCTTCACTGGTCCGACCCACTTAAGAGCAAAGTGGGCTGAATGTGGCCTACGATGTAAAATTTGTTTGACACCCTTTCTCTGTGTGTGTGTGTGTGTGTGTGTGTGTGTTGCCTGTTTTATTTGTCTCTGATTGGGGAATTAGGGCAGCAATGAAGTGTGGGCCACCATTCTGGCTCTGATCTGGCTTCATGCTTTTAAGATGGATGCAAAGGATGAGTGGGAGCTTCTGGCTATGAAGGCTGCCTCATGGCTCCGTGCTCAGAATGGTAGTAACACGATAATAACAGAAAATGCTGCATATCCATGACACAAAGTTAAAGTGAGCTATTCTTGCAAATTCATTCTTTTAATCCTTGTGTTTTGTGTTCTTAGCACCATGTGTGTCAGAGTGTGTGGACGCTGGAAATGTCCTGTTGGGTTCCAGCGTGAAGAAAGAAGCTCTGGGACTCTGAGAGTTTTCTCAAATTGGCTTCACCTTAAGAGCTAGTCACACCATTAAGCCTTTTGATTCAGTGTTGTGTCATACTGTCTTCTTCATTCACCTTCTTCACTGACTGTGTGTTTATACATCATTCTGCATTTAATCATTAGTTATTACTAATCTCGGCTCTCTTCCATAGCGTGTCTTTTGTCATGTCTCCCTCCCCTCATCTCCAACCGGTCGTGGCAGATGGCCGCTCCTCCCTGATCCTGGTTCTACCAGTTTATTTTCTTGGTAAAAGGGAGTTTTTCCTTCCCCACTATAACCAAAACACTTGCTCATAGGGGAGTCATGTGATTTTTGAGATTTTGTTTTCTCTGTATTATTGTAGCATATTTACCTTACAATATAAAATGCCTTTAGGCGTGTGATGCCTTTTGATCAAAAGACAGTAATTAGGGCATGATGTGATTAAGTTACATAAGCAAAGTGATAAATAAGTTCATAGTTAATAAACATTATAAGTAAATTTATGCTAAAAATGGTTAAAATATTTTGGTTTTGAAATCTGATTAGAGTAAGACATCTTTATTACAAGCGATCTTTGTATATTGTACGCGCGGCAACGGGCGCGAGAGAGCACTCACATCACGAACCTATCTTTAACATACTTTTCTCCCGCAACTGTAGAATTTGTGAACAAGTGCTTCGGCAAAAATAAGAGTACACTCATGTACACGCTAAATGTGCCCTACACACTTGTGCCTTGGGAAACGTTCGTTTTAGTGAGTATTACTGTGTTCAGGAAGAACTTGGATATGTGTTTACATGGAATAAAATGTGATGCCAAAGTAATGCACGCATTTAAGTTTGTCATTAAGATGTGTGCATTGGTGAGAAATTTTTTGTTATTTTGTTCATTTCACTTACAAAACTGAGAAGAATCCTTGGGAGAGGAAAAGGTTTAAAAAGGTCTTCAAAGTCAAGAAAAGCAAGCCCTGTGTGGAGATCTCTTCTGTTGTGTTTGCTGGCTGTTTAGCTTCACATTGTTACGTGTTGTGAGGGCAGCACAAGGCAACTGTTGTTGTGATTTGGAGCTATATAAACAAAACTGGATTGAATTGCACTGAATGATGCCTACAATGTTATATTTATTTTTAATCTTTCATTTTTATGTTGTTGCAATCGTTCTAAGTGCTTAATTCAAATTGTTTTACTTGTATTTCCACGTGTGCCTTGAACTGAAAATTAAAAACTGAAAATTCAAGTTGGTGCTTTGAATGAAAGGGGCTCCAATCTTAATTGCTTTTATTTATTATGACTCCTTGCGTGTGTTCTGTAGAATGTTTATAAAGAAAATCCTCCAAGTTTAAGAACTGACTACTATGGATAAAGTGAATGTCCCTAACTCTGTCCTTCTGAGTAAAGATCAACCGCCTCACTTCAAGAAAATGAATAATTATAGTTCTTTTCCTCTTCAAAATACAATAAAAGATATCACAGCAGACTTGTGATATCGCCATAGGTTGAATACAGGAAAACAGTATCGAATTATACTAATAACTGAAGATCTACCATGCAGCTTATTCTTTCATCACTAACGATCTCATTGGATAGCTGAAGCAGAAAACCTCTGCCTTCACCGGAGTACAACTGCATGCGTGTCAGTGATGGGTCATGAGCAAAACGCTTTGTAGTGAATCAGAAGAGCCGACTCCCATTGAGTGAGAGCCGGTGTTGTCTATAATATGTGAAACATATGTCAAATGTATCCCTCATGAATGATATCAAATCAACTTGAGCCACAGACAACATTCCCGTAACAAGGTAGAAGCCGCAGTCAGTTTTTGGCAGTGACTTTTATATATCCTTTATTTATGCAGTTAAAAAAACAATCTTGTTGACATTAAAAATGGCTTTTGTCATTGTCTTTTGGACAGCAGAAATTGGCCCTGATCCCTCACTCTGATCAGTGTTGGGAAGATGTGGCCATGGATGGGCCAGCGCATCCAGTGTGACAGGGAGAAAAACAGTGGGCAATGTGTGTTTTCTCGTGAGGCGAAGAGATCTATGACAGCCCGGCCGTATATCTGCCAAATCTGCTCCACCACCTGTGGGTGAAGCCTCCATTCTCAGAACAGTGGATTCCCCCTGATCAGGAGGTCCGCCCCCCTGTTCAGAATTCCTGGCAAGTGAGTTGCTTGAAGGGAGAGGAGCCGTGTGCTGCTCCACACAATTATTTCCCTGGCTAACCTGTGTAGCTGTTGGGAACAGGTACCGCCCTGGCGGTTGATATGAGCAACTACAGTGGAGTTGTCTGTTTTCACTAAAACATGTTGAGCTTCTGAAAATACTTCTGAGCATCACCTAAGCCTGACAGGTTTAGCCACAAGGCTCTCTCACCCGAGACTGCAAGGCCCATAACTTGCGACACCCTTGGACTGCTCCCCTGGAGGAGCGAAGAATGAGCTCATTAACCACGCAGATTTCATCTCAGAGAGCTGGGTTTGGGGAACCAGAGTCAAGCTAACGGCTCATGTCTTCCAGAATTTCTGCCTGATATGCTGATAGCAGTGTGACTGCATTAAGCAAGCATACTGACTGTGCAGCATATTTGTACATCCTTTGATAAATAGATGCCGTGAAGCAATCCATCTTGCTGGGCAAAGAAATGCCAGAAGAAGCTGAGACTGCCCTGCGGTTAGGGTGAAGGTGATATGCCACTGAAGGCTCCACTGCTGGGGGTTCAGTCAGCCCCAGTTCACCCATCCCCTGGATCTCAAGCTTAGAGCAGCCCTTGGTCGGAAGCTTGCTTTTAAAAGGGCTTGACCAGGAGTGACTCATTTCTTTCATGCAGGCAGAGACTGCTGGCAGAAGCTGCTTTGATGGCGGCAGGGCTGGTGGGAGCCTCTTGCCATCATACAGGTCGCGTTCTGCCCCTTCGGTATCCCGGGCAGCTGGCCATGGGATGCCTAGCTTGGTAGAAGCCCGTTTGCAGACCTCGTACAAATAGCTGTCCTCCGGGGGTGCAACTTCAGCCCCACTCGGTGGCCTGGACTGCTGAGGAGGGAAGGTAGAGTCATCCTCCTCCTCATCCATGTCCTCTAGGTTGAGGAGGTTGGAGTTGGCATCGCCCTCCGCATCTTCGCCACCCGGCTTGCCTACATTTTGATCGAGAAGGTCCTCGAACAATGGGGGCATGAGCGGGGACTCTTCTTCCATCATGTCTGCCCAGCTGGAGGCTCGCGGATGACGGATATCACTCATAGCAGTAGCAGCCGACAGGCAGGGGTCCTGACTGTTCGTTACTGCTACCCTCAGCCTCCTTTCCAGGACTTTCTCTGGCATCAACGCACAGTGTGGGCATCCCTGGGGGTCTGCCAGTGAAGCCTGAGCATGCTTGGCACCCATACAGACAATGCACGTTGGATGAGGGTTCCTGCCCGAGATGGTGGCACCGCATGATGCAGGGCATGGGCGGGATACAGCCTCTTTGGCCTTCGGTTCCGACCCTTTGGCGGGGGTAGGAGCCGTAGACATGGTTAGCGGAAAGGGGTGAGACTAGCCTACACAAGGCCCATCGCGACACGTTAGCCCGTACGTAGCTAGGACTAGCAGCGGGGGTTAAATCCGAGCTAGTCGCCACGGGAGTCAGCTCATCGTGTCATGTTAGCTGCACTCCGCTAGCAACTTAATACTAACTAGGGTTGCCAACCGTCCCTTAAAAAACGGAATCGTCCCGTATTTCGAAACAAAAGTACACGTCCCGTATTGAGCTAATAAGGGACGCACTTTGTCCCGTAATACAGTGAGAATCAAAAGTAGTCTATAACTTTTAATGGAATTAACGCTTTGTTGAAAACATAATTCCCAGCCCCTCTCCTGCTTTGTGACCAATGAGCTGACAGCACACTTATGACAATTCGAGTATGACAATTCAGATTACCGCTCATCTCATTGGTCGAGGAAAGGTCGCTTACGGAGAAAATACCGGAAGACAACAGATGACCACAACAAGAAGCATGGCCAACAGGGAAACAAACGCCGACACTGCGGTGCAAGTCTCGGACGTCAGTACACCTAAAGCTGGGCAACACTGTGCGATTTTCAAACTGCACGATTGACTCGCAGGGGTTAGAAGTTGTAGGTCACGATGCAGGGTCTCACACTATACCGCCCGATGCTCTGATGCGACCTGAGTGCTCACACTGTGCCTCCATAAAATGAAGGTTATAACAGAAAATCTGTCGCTCGCTCTCCCTCTCTGTCTTTCACTCACACAGACACGCACACCACCACCATCAACTTTGCTAAATTGCTAATGAAAAACATTGATCAGGCAGCTGTGATTGAGCAGCAATGTAAATCCAACTATTTTCACGGTTGTTGTGGTCGTGATAATTTTGTGATGCCACATCGAAAAGGCTCGGATGAGCTTTCCAAAGTTCTACAAGTTGTGCCTCCATCGCTTGTGTCCAGATCACACGCTGCACAGCCGTGCTGCTCCGTCTTTTTCACCGACGTTTACGTGTTTGCGCGTGAGCAGTGTGAGCGCGCTGTGGTGACACCCTCACGAGCGATTGATGATCGGGAGCTGGTCTGAGGTGTTAATCGCTTCTCGTTACCCCACGTATACTACACGATGCACGATGAAGGCCAAAATCGGGCCGATCACCAAATCGGTCGCACGACTCAAAAATCGCTCAAAATGGGCCAAAAATCGCACAGTGTAGCCCAGCATTAGAGCAGCAATGTTTGTTCCCCTCAGAGAAAGAAAAAAAGGCTGCAAAAGTACAGGGAGGAATGGGAAAAGGAAAACACCTGGCTGGAAAAGTGCACGATAACACCTATAAAGCGCACTGCACTGTGTGCCGGCGCACTTTTTCCATAGGCATGCTTCTAATGGTGGGCACATGAAGAACATGAGGGGCGTGAAAGCTCGGGGAACCCTTAACCAATTTCTTGTCCACCAGGCCACGGCAGAAGCAGATATGGTATGTAAACACTGGTTTGTTTTTTTTAAACCCTCTGGTTAAGGTTAATATGGGCATGTGCAGTGAATATCAGCGCTATGTGGCCAGAAGTGTGATAATATAATTTATTTTGTGTAATAAACAACTGCAAGGATAGATGATTACAACAAATAGATGACTAATACATAAAAGTAATACATAGATGAATAATGATGATGAGTTATGATGCGTAATCATGGGAACAAGCGGGTTTACAAACAGGAGCAGCTGATTAGCATTAGAAAAGCTGAAATAATACCTCAACTGAAGCCAATTGTACTAAATGCACTAAATGTGCACTGTTACAAGAATATTTTTTTTCTATTGTTTTCTATTAATTTATATAATTTTAAGTTAAGCAGGACAGAGTTCTTTTAAAGAAAGATTTACTTATATTCTCAAAAGTTAAGCATGACAGGCTTCTGTTTAAGAAAGAGACCTGTTTTACTGTGTTAATGTAGTCAGGCGGAGGCAGACATTTGATACACCCGGGGCTTAGCCCTAAAGGGTAGTATGCATGTGGGGGGGGGGGTAGAAATGACTGAAAGATTAATAGGCTCTGTTTTGAGTTTTGTTCAAAAAAGAATGACTTCATATAGGGAAAAATATATATCACATGTGCAGGACACCTTAAACTAGTTTTTTAATTAAGCAGCAGGCAGAACAAAGTCGGGGCTGTATCAAGACACGAGGACTAAACCCCAATTCAACCAGACCCAGAACTGATCCAGAATTAAAACAGGACTACAACAGTTCAAAATCAGGACTACTTGGGACTTAACCAAGACAGAACCAGAATCAGAACTAGATGATAGTAGCACTAAAAATCATCATAGACCTGCACTACACTTATTTTTTAATTCTACCAAAGTACAATATTTAGATTGAGAAAAGTTTATATAATTATTTAGCCTTGTTGTGCAAACAAGCCTGCATAACTTAATAAATGTAGAATTTGAAAAATAACAAACCTAAAAAGAAACACTAGGTACGAGATACATGAGTACCTATGATACGGTGATACTTTTGGTAAACAACCATTTGACTAACATGTGTGTCTCACCTGCTCTTGTTCATCTCTGTTCTGTCCTCATTCTCTCTCCCTCTCTGTTCTCTCTCTCCTCTCTGTTCCTCTCTCTCCTCTCTCTCACTCATCTTCTCCCTGCTCTTGCTTCATCTCTTTCTCGCCTCATTCTCCTCTCCCTCTCTGTTCCTCTCTCCCTCTTTGTGCTGACAATCATCAAATATACAGATATTTACAAACTCTTCAGATAAAAACACAAACACTTTTTAATTGTAACATCAAATCAGACTAAATGTTTATTTTTTTTAGATTGATAAATATAAAAAACATATTTGTTAACTTTAAGAGTAAAGAGAGAAACTGTCTGTATTTCTTAATTGCAAATGGCACCAAATTGTATTCAAAATTGAGCCACACTTATGGAGCTCCACAGTTCTTTTCCTGGTGTTTTGGTTGACATCTCTTGATTTTCCCATGTCACAGAAACAGGCTCTGTGTTTTGCCTTATATGCATCCACAGCTGTGCCACCAGTTTACTCACATGGACTCTACTAACCTATCAGAAGCTTCTTCAGCTCAGAATGGAATCGTCTGGAGTTTCTTATTAATTAACAATAAACTTAGTGTATAAAAGGCTCTGGGATTTTATGTCTATGTTCTGCAATATTGTGTGGGGTGGAGTCGTAGGAAATGACGTAGGCAGAAGCTGGGGGTATCGCGATGCTACTCGAGAAGAGGGTTTTTTTCTGTGTTAGTTCTGTTACCTCGTAAGCTGTGTTCCTGGTTGCCATCCTTCACGTGATGCTCCGAGTGTTAAGTTCATGACTGGAAGTAAGTTTCCTTAAATATGTTTATTTTTCCGATTCTGATGTTGGCCGCGGCTTTAGTTACATTCTACCGCATTGTAGCACCGCATTGTTTCATCTCGTGACTCGAAGCATGGGCCGCCGGCCGCCGCCATTATGTAGTAATTTTATTCGGCCACACGATGGCGCCAAAGTCCTTCGTTTACAGTTAGAGTGGATGTTTCGGCTATGTATGACATTCTCACTGTGTTTAATTGTGTCCTTCCTGTGTTTGGAGCAAGAGATGTAAGATTGGCATAGTTCAAATTATATATGTCCTGTTATGTGTGTATTCAGATGGATGTGTTGGTTTATTTCATGTAATCCTTTATATTTATCTTAGTGAGGCTGTTGCTGTATATATTTGTATACTCATGGCAACTTGTTTGTTACTACAGACTGCTGGCAACACTGAGCATCTAGGTGGCAATAAAACAGCTGGCGGTGACAATCCAGCAAAGTGGAAGCCTGTTGTCCTCCTTCCTGTATCCTGACCGATACACCATCTTGTTAGCTGCTGAACCTAAAAGAACTAGCCCTCACCAAGTACTCCTCAACATTGGTCCTTCGAGCCGGAGCAGCTATCAAAATGGAGCCAGATGGAGCGACATGTCCTGATGCAAGGCCTAAACGCCATACACGTCGACCAAGCCGGTTTGAGGACTTTGATGTTAACTATACAGGCCACCTCTTTAGGGAAATGCTGCAGTGGGATACCCCACAGCCTCACACAAGAAGCGACAGAGTTCAGCCTCAGTATAGTCATACGCCACCCCCCTACAGCGACAGGGATGGGGCCTATTACAATACACCCCCTCCACTGGGAAGAAGTGAACAAGATGTGGACCTTAATAGGAGCCTCTCACCTGAATTTGCACCTTCCAATTGGCCAGGGTCTTCAATACACACATTTCATACAGAATTCAGAGCCTTGCAGGCCGAAAGAGAGCAGCTACTCCAATCACAGCAAGTTTTACAGGAGGGCCTCAAAGAACTGAAGGAAGCAAAGAGTGACCTCAGAGAGCTGATCGAAGTGGCTCACCTGCTAAGGAAGGATATGGCTCAGCTGACTGTCTCACAGCATAGCACCAGTCAGCCCCCCAAACGCGGTTCAGGAGAGGTATACACCACCCCTGAGACAATGCCACAGGAGGAGGATGAGGAGGTGTGGCCCGACCCACCGCCATGGCCTGAGCCGATGGAAGAGTTGCACACGGGATTCTCCCAAATGAAGGTTGACGAACAATACTCCGATGATGGTGTACAGTACCACCCTCTACCCCGCACACCATATTTCGCTGGTGAGCCTTCGCTGCCTAGTCATCGCTGCACCCTATATCAGGACCCTGTGGTTAAGGATGGAAATACGTTTCATGCCCCTCCACAACACTCTGTGCCACCCCCCTGCTGGGCACCAAGTAAGACAGGTTTGCTCCCAACCAAGCCTGTTCCAGCCAGTTCCCCCTCTCTTGTCACTGGAGTAACCAGTGGGCACGGCAGCAACCCATCTGCTCCTCTTTCGGCTGAGCTAGTGTACAGGGGCCCCAAACCAACCATTCCAAGGTTCATTCATTCTGATCCCTCTGAGTTTGCTAGGCTCCGCATGGCTTTAGAGAACCTACTCCCTCCTAATGCTACTGAGCTCTTCAAGTATCAGATACTTGTGGACCACCTCAAACTAGATGAAGCTCGACTTATTGCCGATGCTTACCTGAACTCACCCAAGCCTTATACTGACACCATGGCAGCCCTCCACGACAAATTTGGACAACCTCATCAGCTCGCCTTGAGAAAGATAGCAAGTGTCCTGGATGGTCCTGAAATAAGGCGAGGTGACACAGTAGCCTTCCAAAGGTTCTCCCTTCAGGTGCAGTCACTAGTTGGGCTGTTACAAACATTAGGACTGGAAGGAGAAGCGGAGTTGAACTGTGGGTCCCACGTTGCCCGACTAATAAGTAAGCTTCCTGCCGAACAGAGAGCTGATTTTCGTCGACACCAGTTTAAACAGCCCGGGAGCACCTACACTCTGTACGACCTATCTGCATGGCTTCGTCAGGAGTCCTGGTGTCAAGGATTTGACGGCCAAGCAGGTGTAAGAAGCAGTAGAGAAAGGACCAGTGTAAAGGCTGAGGCCCGTCCAGGCCGACAAACCGTGACAGTCCTACATAACCTAAAGGGGCCATCAGAACACACCTTTCCACCAGTGAAGGAGAGTCGAGCTAGAGGGAAGGTTAAGAACAAAGCCTACTGTGCCTACTGTGAGAGCACAGAACACTATTTCAGCCAATGTGATGATGTAGCCAAGCTCTCCAAAGAGGAAATAAAGGACTGGATACAGGTCAACAAACGATGCTGGCGCTGTGCCCGAACTCATTTAGCTGCTCAGTGCACACTAAAGAAACCCTGCAGCCGCTGCCAGGGTAAACATCTGCTGGCTCTTCACGAGGTAAATGCCAGGACAGAAGGAAACAACGCTGGCATGGCTGCAAAGGAGGAAAGCTGCCTAACCAGTTCGGCTTCGGGCTCACTCTACCTTGATCGCCATGGGGCCAGCAATCGTGTCATGCTGAAGATTGTACCTGTGCTTTTGAGCCATGGAGAGCGGACTCTAGACACCTATGCTATACTTGATGACGGTTCAGAGAGGACCATGCTGCTCCCTGCTGCTGCAAAGACTCTTGGTCTGGCAGGCATCCCGGAGGACCTGCCATTACGAACCGTCCGCCAAGATATTCAGATGCTTCATGGACATACCGTATCCTTCAGCGTCTCTGCTGCTACCAACCCTGGATCCTACTACAAGATTGATGGAGCGTTTACAGCTGATCGTCTCAACTTAGCTCACCATACCTATCCTATCAACCAGCTGAGAAGGAAGTACAAATACCTGCATGGGATCCCGGTCCCTGCCCTGAAGGAAGCCAAGCCTCTGCTTCTCATTGGTTCAGACCAGCCACACCTGATCACCCCCATAGAACCAGTCCGCCTCGGCCCACCTGGAGGCCCAGCAGCAGTCCACACCCGGCTTGGCTGGACCCTTCAAGGGCCAAGTCTTTTCATGGGGCGGCAGACCCAGCCTGTCCTATCCCTGTATACATCCGCCCAATCCGACGAGTTGCTCAAACATGTGGAGCGGCTCTGGCAGGTGGACGTGGTGCCTTACCGATCCGAGAAAGAGGTCACTCGGTCGAAACAGGATCAGCAGGCTGTGGCCCTGCTCGAGGCAAGAACAACTCGCAGGAAGGTCGATGGAGTCTTCAGGTATGCTACACCTCTACTCCGTCACCCACAGATGCCGCCACTGAATGCACCAAAGGAATCAGTCATGCCCATGCTTCGAAGCACAGAAAGGCGCCTGTTAAAGGATCCCAGTCAGGCTGATGCCTACAGGGCAGAAATGCAGAAGCTGATCCAATCAGGAGCCGTGAAGGAAGTTACGCATGAGACTTCGCCCAAGGAGAACTGGTACATACCGCATCATCTTGTCAGTCATAACGGGAAGAATCGCCTGGTATTTAACTGTTCCCATAAATACCTTGGACAGTCCCTGAACCAGTTCCTGTTGCCTGGCCCTACTCTTGGAGCTTCCCTGCTGGGGGTGCTGGTCAGGTTTCGTGAACACCCCATAGCTGTGAGTGGAGACATCAAGGGGATGTTCCATCAGGTACTGCTCCTCCCTGAAGACCGGCCCCTGTTGAAGTTCCTTTGGCGGGACTTAAAGGTGAATGAACCCCCTAAAATCTTCGAGTGGCAGGTCCTGCCATTTGGGACAACTTCAAGCCCCTGCTGCGCCACCTTCGCCCTGCAGCATCACGTGATGGAGCACACACAGCCTGACGACAGCCTGAGATTCTCCATCGAGAGGTGTTTCTACGTAGACAACTGCCTACAGAGTGTTGGCTCACCGGAAGAAGCGAGAGATCTGGTGGATCGGCTAAGAGAGTTGCTGAAATCAGCTGGCTTCGAGCTACGTCAGTGGGCTTGTAATGATCCAAGTGTCCTGAGCCATTTGCCTCCAGAAGCTAGATCACAGAGTCTGGATCTGTGGCTAGCCGAGGACAAATCCAACCCGCTAGAGACCACGCTCGGGCTCAGCTGGGACTGGAATACCGACTCCTTGGGTTATAAGCACAGGCCCGTGTCCTATGAGGTGCCAACCCTCAGAAACATCTATAGAGTCCTAGCCTCACAGTACGACCCTTTGGGCTATCTGTTACCCTTCACCACTCGGGCCAAGCTCCTCCTCAGGCAGTTATGGGATAAGAAGCATGGTTGGGACGACTCGAATCTTCCCTCCACCCTCCTGCAAGCTTGGTCTGACTGGGAGGTAGAGCTTCAGTTTTTACCTCACCTTACCTTCCCACGTGCCTATGTTCCTGCCAGTGCTAACTTAAAGGGGGCCATTCGTGAGGTGCACATCTTTGGGGATGCTTCTGAGAAAGCTTATGGAGCGGTGTCTTATATGAGGACTGTAGAACAGGATGGGCAAGTTCACCTCACTTTCATCCTAGCTCGCTCCCGGTATCTCTCTGTGTG